TTGATGCGGGGCTATTAGCTAGGTCCGACCAAACCAGCATTGAGATGTTTTCTATTGGAGATCACATTCTAGCGATTCAAGGTCATCCTGAGTACACAATGGACATACTCTTCAATCTTGTAGAAAGACTCAGAAACCAGAATGAGATTGAGGTAAACTAGTCTTTTTTTAATGGGTAGGAATCGAATTTGAGATGCAGTGTTGCTTGACGTGAACTGCTAACCACTCTCAGGCCAAGCCCAATTCCTAAGGGTGTTTTTTTTTTGGTGTATTTCTTGTATCTCTCTTTTTGTTTTACTTTCCTTTTTTGCATTTATGACTTGGTGAGATCATTTTTCAGAGTGATTTTGTGGAGGACTTAAAGGCCAGATTGGAGTCTGCTGAACCTGAGAGGGAGGTTTGGAAAAAGATTTGCAAGAATTTCCTCAACCGACGATTGACTCGTGAATCTTCGAAATTTATCATGGTGGAGGATGTATGAAGGGTCTCTCTCCACGTTGGGCTTGATCCCATTACAATGCAAAACGATGTTGTCATCTAGTGCTATCCTTGATTTTGCACGTCTATCTGTTTTCATGATTAGTCTTTGATAATCTTTATTTGGAAAAGTAATTTTTGCGTCTCGGGACGCATTTCTGTTCTTGGAGATGGATGTTACGAAATGACAACCCTAGAAATTGTTAAAGTCAATGCTATCAAAATTATCATCATCATCCGAGCTTTTTCCAACTATTTGAAATAAGCTACATGAATATTCTCCCGCCATTTTATTCTATCAAATACCATAACTTTAGTGAGGCTGTCAGTCTTATTATCTTTTTTCACTATTTTCAATCTTGTCTTTTTAGACTTACCTCTTGTCTTTTTTTTAATCTTCTACTTAAACTAACTCGTATAACTCGTATATCCTAACAGGTGTTATATTGAATCTGTGCCGCACATAGCTAGCCCACCTAAATTTATTTTATCTTATTTTATCATTTATTCAAGTCACACTTAAGTTCTCCTTAATGTATTGATTTCAAATTCTTTCACATCTTGTCTTTCCACTCATTCCTCTCAACATCATCATCTTAACTACATTAATCCTATAGATATATTGTTTATTGACCACCCAATATTCTGCCCTATAAAGCAAATTTGGTCTCACAGTTGTCCTATAGAACTTCCCCTTCAACTTTATACAGCGGTCACATAAAACTCTGGTTTCACATCTGTACTTCCCCTACCCAGCTCTAATTTTATGTACAACGTCTTTTTCAGTCTCTCCATTTTTTTGGATTATTGACTCAAAATATTGAAAATATACGTTTTTTTCGTGTTTGAAATTTATGTGTTTTTTCTTAGTTACTATATATATCATTGTTGAGATGATACATTCCTTATAATTTTGAATCTAAAATCTACCTCTAAAATACATTTTAGATAGAGGGCTCATTTCGATAGGTGAGTCGACAAACTCATAGAAACCTTGACCATCTTATTTTGTTCATTAAGGGGCCAATTTATGAAGGAATACATGGGCTTGTGTAAATGAGCCAAAGTCATACATAGCCATGGGCCAGCGTTTATGTAATAATAATTGGCTTAAAGGAAGGAGGGAAGGGCTTTCTCTGACGATTGAAAAAAAGTAAACTAAATTGTTGGGTCCTCTCAATATTATCACAATATAATCACAATTTTAATAAAATAAGCTTTTATATCAAAAGATGTTTTCACATTGCCGAGTTATACATATATTTATTCTTCTTAGTTTTGGAAAGGACACAGTTTCTAGGAGTCCCTATAGAGATGAGTCACCTCTTAAAAATCTATTTTTGTGATGGATTTTTTGACCTAATTTTTAAAGACATGTAATCTTTAACATAGAGATCATGAATATGAAAAAATAAACAAATTTCAAAATTTAAAAATAATAATTCTACTATAAACATTTGGACAGTTAGTTTCAGTTGTTTTTAAATGGACCACTTATTTGCATCCATCTATAAGATGGATGCTTTATACCTGAGGGACCGCAAATGCAGAAATGCAGTCCCCGTCCGCCGCATGAAACAATTTTCCTCTTGAAAATCCACACAAAGCTTTCTTTTGCCTTGATTTCTTGCCCTTGATTTTTTGGACAAAAACTAAATCATTACTATTTCCAGTTTGCTGATGGTCATCATTCCTCAACTTACTATATCAAGATTATCTACCCTATAAAAGTTGGGAAAGTATATAACGAGACTATTTATTTTGATACAAGGTGGTCACAATTAATTTTAACTACTAAATGTGAAATTCGATGGCTGCATTTATTTCATCAACCAATCTCAAAGTTCAAAAGAATTTTTCTCGAACTTTGTGGTACATCCAAACTATCAAATTTCACATCGGATGATTGTAAATAATTGTAATCTCCTTATACCAAAAGTAAATTATCTCGTTGTATACAATCCCAAAAAAAATTTAGGTCTAAGAGCCATATAAGACAGATAATCGAAACACAAGACAGTACATGGTGGGCGGATGCACCAAAACTATCTTTAACACTAGAAACCATTTAACATGAGTTGCGTATCGACCTAAGTTGTAAGAAACGCATTGTCGGCCATGGAATATGGATGGAGATATTGTAGAAATCCACGAGCCAAGTGCCCCAATTTCATTGCAAACCTAGAAGAGTGCTTGTCTCTTTTCAAGTGATGGAAACTCTCGAGACACACGCTACATATTTGATGTCAGGAGTATTCATGTATAACCTTAGGTAAATTCCAATATAAACAATGGAGACGGACCCGACCTGTGACCCAAGGGGTAGACCAGATCTGGGTCTCGGCATGGATCTAAAAATTGGACCCGGTAGACCGGTTGTGGGTTCAAATCTTAGACCCGAACACTATTTAGGTATGGGTCCCGTAATATTTGTCAAGTCCCAAAACATGAAATATATCTAAATATAGTTAAATATATAGGTGTTTTAATTTTTGGGTCGGGTTCGATCAAGTCCAAGTCCCACACTATATTTTATGTTGCCACCCCTAAATATAAGTAATTTTTGGACCAGAAATTTTGGGGATGTGACTTCTTCATTATGCAAACTAAACTCAGTGAATGAAATTTCCAAAAATTGAACTCTCCATGTATTATCAAGATTGAATAGAGATCGTCCAA